GTCTGTATAGCAAGTTTGAGGCTAACCTAGGTTACATGAGACCATCTGGAAAGAAAAGAAAGAAAGCCTCAGGATTCAATGTGGAGTTGCAGTGTAGGGAGTGGAACCGCTGGGGTGAGTGTGGGTGGAGGCGGCCCACAGAACCACAGAGTACACGTAGCCTTGGGCTCCCTTTGGGTCCTTGTGTCCATGGCACATTCTGGTGCCAGAAGGTATCTGTCAGTCATCCATACAAAGGTCACCTAGGATGGGCTCCTAAGCTGTGAAGTACCTGGGCCCAGGGTGAGGGCCACGGATGAGCTCAATGACGTGGCTACTTTAGATCTGAGAGGCTGTAGACTAGAGGCCACAGCCTAAAGAAGAGAGGGCAGGAAGATGGGCAGGTCAGCACTGAGGGAGGGTGCTGTCGGAGCTCCCACTGTGGGTCCTGGTTTCTGTCCCAGGATGAAGGGAGATAGAGGTGTGTTCTCTCTGGGGTGTCAGCCTAGACTCTGTGTGGTCCAGAGGGAATTTGGAAAATACTGAGGTGGTTTGGAGGCTCTGGGCCTGGTGTAATGTTAAAGGAAGGACAGGGGGCGGGCGGGGAGTGGGGTGGAAAAACCCAGTCAGGTCTGGATGGGTCTGTGTGCTTCGAAAGCTCATTTTACAAGGCTTGTCTTGTGATAACTTTCTCTGTGGCTTTATTCTACTTTTCCCTGTCTTCTGTAAATTTTTATTATCAAGATTGAAGAGAATAAAACTGTATTACAGTAGTGGCTCTGTTTCAGCTCCACCATGGGTAGAGAAGCAAGGCCCCTTCACTCAGAGTGGTCCCTGGTTGGCCGAGAACATTCCTGAGGGCCTGTGCAGAGTGACAGGACAAGTGAGCAGGACAGCCAACCAAGTCTTTCATTCCTGAGCCTGTGAGGAGGAGGGGGGAGCATAGGGCACCGTCCTGTAAGTGGGGCTCTCTTGGAGGGACAGTCTGTCTACCACCCACTTCCTGCTGCCCCAGGAGAAATGGGCTGGCCATTCCACCCAGGGCTGCCCTACATCCCTCAGGAAGCAAGTTCTCCCAGGAAGTCTGGGTTGTACATGATGCTCCAATATCATCCAGCATTCTGTCCACTGCAAGAAGTCATTAGTGTGATGGTAACCTGGGCTGCCAGGGCTGAGTCACAGGATTAAGGACCCTTTCCTAGGTACCTAAGGGCAGGTAGGAATATCAATAAAGTAGACCCATTCTGCTGCTGCACACCTCTGGGAATGTGGTGTGGACCCCCACCCCTCAACTATACAGCCGCAGCTGCCTCCCCAGCCCTGCACACACACACCCCACTCTCTCCTTGTGCCGTGTTTTTTTTTTTTGGCTAGTCAGTCCTGGTGTAGGAGGCGGGGACCAGATCTGTGCTAGGGACCCAGGGCATTCCAAGCTACAGGTGTGTGTGTGTGTGGTAGGTTGCTCCCAGGATCTACCTGTGACCTACTACCCTCTTCCTGATAGTTCCAGGTTCATTGTCTAGAGCTGGTGTTTGTGCTTAAACTGAGCACATGGGGATAGCAAGCATTTCCAGAGTACAGAGAGCTCTCTGAGAGGGAGGTTGGGGATATGTGCACCCATGCGCTGGGTGTGGGAGGGGTAGGCCTAGGGCAGGAATCTCGGCAGACTCTGCCTATGCAGATCCCCCATGCGCCCCGGGACTTTGGAGGCCATCCTGTACTGCGGTAGGCCCGGGCCTCTTTTGGCATCTGTCACAAACACCAGCTCTTTTGGTCTCCTGGACGCAGTTGCTCATCCAGGAAGTCGGTTACTCATTCTGTGTTTCCCTTTCGCTGTTTGTGACGGAGCTCTAAAAACAGAGCTCTCAAACAAATGTGCTAAGTGATCAGCGAGTAGGCAAACACTGGGTGCCTGCGCTGTTGCTGGCACCACGCTGGGCTTGAGTCCTGGGAGTCTCCCTGCCAGGGAACCCTCTCCAGTGAGCAATATCTGGATATATCGTACAGGGGTGCAGGGGTGGAGGGGTGGCACTGCCCCTCTGCAGGGCCTCCTAGGTGAAAGATGGGAATTGCCTTTCTGTGAAGGCAGAGCTGGAAACATGCAGAACAAGGGTAGGACCTGACCAATTGCCAGAGCAGAGTGTCTGGGTGCTACCTGAGGTTGGGGGAGGAAGGACTGAGGGCTGTTTCTGGAGGATAGAGAGGGCGGGGCCGGCCACCAGGGAGTCTTTTGGTGCTTTCCCTCACTTAGATCTCAATATCCGTCTGACAGTAAGTGTCAGACAGGAAGGCTTAGGGGTGTGGATGTGCCACCTCTTGCCTCTTTAAGCTTGGCATTTTACCTGTCTGGTCCAGAGCCTGCACCTTACAAGCTTAGCTGTTTCCCCGATCTGCTCCTTTCTCTTGGGAGCTCTGTGCTCATGCAGAGCCAGCTTCTCTCCAGGGCTTTGGGTCTGAACCTCCTGCTTATTTGGCAGTGTGCACTTGGGGCTCCCCGGGAGTGATAAAAATAGTCCTCTGGTGTCTCAGAAGAGGGATCACAGGATCTTAGGAAGAGGTCTAGGCTGAAGAACTTGTACGGGCCAAATGTGATTTTATATTCTACGTGGCTTTCTATGAAGTGGCTGCCTTGTCATTCTTTCCAGAGGTAATGGAAACAGTATCTTGTGAAATCACACTTCAAGTTTCCCCTTTCCCTTTATTAATACTGCCTGCAGCCCCAGCCGGCTAGTGACACTCTGCAGTTCCCAGAGCTGGCGATAGGGGGTGTGCTCCCAGGTGACCTGAGAAATGGGAGTCTGAAAATTATGCTTTGGCCAGGTCTAGGTGTGGAGGCCACATCTGCTGTGACAGGAGGGAAGATCCTGGGCAGTGCTTCCCAGCAGTGTTCCTTTCAGTGCCTTTTTAAGCTGGGGTCTTGCCCAACCACGTGTGTGTCTGAGCTTCCTGACTGTGACTGATCCTGTCCTAAGCTTCTCTCCTTGGACCAGTGGAGACCACCTGAGAGCAGGGACCACAGTCCACTGACTGTTCTGTTAAGTCTTAGACCTGAAGGACAGGTTTGTTGAGGCTCCTGGGTATTCAGTCTCCAGTCAAGGTCTGTGGAGGGAAGGATGGTTGGTGTCCTGGTGAGCTAATGGGGAGACACTCATCCAGAAAGGAGAAGCCTGCATGGAGAACAGTTTTTCTCCTCCTTTTAAGCCCTCTCCCCTCCCCCCCCCCCACACACGTAAGGGCCTTACAAGGGGACTGGCCGAGTGCCTGCTTTCAGATCTGTAACTATGTCACCTCTGAAGACACAGTGTAGAGGAGAGACCAACTGCTTCCAGTGCCGCTCAGCTAAGTGACACTTTAGCTTTCTTGGAGAAAACAAAACGGAGTGAGCAAGCCCGGACTGCTTTTGGTGGAGTGTTTATCCCAGTGATTGTTAATAGGGATTGTGGAGTCTTAAAAATGCAGGCAGCTTATCTCTTGAAACAGGACATTTGAATGAAAATTACAAGTAGTCTGTTATCAAACAAATACATAATTGTATTTTTTCTAAATTTGTCATTTGTCCTCTACTGGCGTTGGAGTTCCTATGACCCTTTCCCATTTCCCATATCCACATCAAAAGTAGTTAGCAGTGTCACAGTGCATGTCTGTAACTGGTGCACGTGCTCAAGAGACACACACAGGAGAGTAGCTGTAAGTTGGAGGCCAGCCTGTTCTACGTAGTGAGTTCCAGGCCAGCTGGGACTGTAGAGCAAAGCAGGGTTTGAAGATTCGAAAGGTACTGGGGTTACCTTTGCTTGGCAGTCATGACTTGTGTCACACGTAAGTCTTGTCTGGTGGGTCTTGCCTTTCTCACTCTATTCCATGGCTTCAGTTCCTCAGCTGGCAGCGCAGGTAAGCCGACCTATTGTGGTACCCTGACTCTCACCCCAGCACACCCTAAGTTGATGGTTGGGCTAGTGTTAAAACACCACCACTGGGAATGTAGCGGGTCCATTGCTGGGATGAGGTTCTTGAGTGGGGATTTCCAGGGCCAGAGCCTGTGTGAGCCTGTGCAGCCTATGGAAGTCACAAAATGGCACAGGTGCTGTGAATGCTGCGGGAGGGGCGGGGGCGATGCAGGTACTGTGTATATGATCGCTGGGAGCAGGAAAGCTGGACTCTCGGACCCAGGACTCTGATGATTACTAAAGGTACTTTATAAAGAGACTCAGTCTCCCTTGCCTCCCTGTACAGCGGCAGAGTCCTTTCAGTGCCTGGGCTTCTGCTGTACCCTCTCAGACCTTGGGATGGCAGCACAGCATCCTGGGGTGAGAATAAAGGAAATGAAGAGGAGGGAGGGTGGTGGTGAGTTCCTCCTAGGTGATGACTCCTGACCTGGGCCTGGATTGGGGACACTGGTTAGAAACAGCCGGGCAGGGCTGACATGTGAAAGGCTGAGCTACTGAGTGGGCACTGGCACACCCCTGAGCATATGGGCAAGGTGTTAGAGAGCCACCAAAGGTTCCTGTGCTGTGACTGTGCATGGTCACATGGGATCTTCAGCTGGGGAGCACAGAGGGAGCGGTGCCAAAGGGGAAGAGTGGGGCAAGTGAGGTGCACCACCTGAGAAGGCTAGGACCTACCACACTGTCAGGAATAGGAGCTTGGGGAAGGGAGTCTAGCTGTGACCACAGTGTGAATTCGCTGAACATGGGTGAGAGAGAGAGATGAAAGTCCCCAGCAGAAGAAGCCTCTCTTGGTGATCTAGAAGAGTGTGTGTGTGTGTGTGTGTGTGTGTGTGTGTGTGTGTGTGTTGGGGGGCAGTTGACCAGCAAGCCTGTTCCCGGCTGGCCCCTGGTAGGGGGTCCCTATGATGAGGTGGTAGGAATGTAAGAACAGGGAGGAAAGCGAGATGATGGGCTACATGGAGAGGTGTAGGCCTCAGCATCCAAAGGGCATGGGAAGGTTAGAGTGCACCATGATTCTCGGGAACGAGTCTTGAGTGTGCTACCTCTGATGTCTGCTGTCTCCTCACTGTTTTCCAGTTCTTGCTGCTCCTGCTCCGTCATCACCCATCCCAGGATATGGCTTCAAACCGCCACCTCGGCCGGACTTCGGCACCACCGGGAGAACAATCAAACTACAGGCCAATTTCTTTGAAATGGACATCCCCAAAATTGACATTTATCACTATGAATTGGACATCAAACCTGAGAAATGCCCTCGGAGAGTGAACAGGTATCTTCTGATCCTTTCCCATGAAGTTGTTATGATGTATTTTTAATTGGTTTCGGCATTGAGATGTAATTTGAGTATAGTAGAACCCCAACATTGTAAATGTCCTGAGTTTTAGTCGGTGTGTGTATCCATCACCCTCCAGTTAGCCTAACCATAAGTCATAAGTTACACTCTTTGTCAGGTTATATTATGTCCTGCCTACAGAAGCCATGCAACCTCACTTCTTTGGTCCAGAATTGTCTTGAGATTTATCTGTGTTGTTCTGTGTATTGTAGTAGTTACTTTTAGTGTTAAGGAGTATTACATTGAATTGTGTATATGTGTTTGTAGGCAGGTCCATGTCCTCGTGCGGAGTCTTGAGGTTGGTGTTGGGCATCTTTGGTCACTTTCTACCTCGTGGCTGTAAGGTCTGTCCTTAAATCCAGAGCTCTCTGTTAAGCTCGCCTAGCTTGCTCCGGAGCTCCCCTTTCTCCACCAGTGGCTGCCACACCTAACTGGCATTTGCATGGGTTCTGATGATCTGAACTCGTTCTCATGGAAACGTTATATCCACTCACTATATCCACTTCCTAGCCCTCACTGAATACTTGATAATTTGCCCTTTCTTCTTCCTGGTAACACGTGGGGTGTTTTGAAGCTCCATGAAAGAAGACCCTTTTCTTTCTCCCTCCCTTTTTAGAATGGACATGGGCTTTCCTTCCTCATACGTGTCAGAATGAGGAGTGGGTTTCAGTGCTTGGGTATCCGCCCCAGTGTGTCCCAGGCAGGTGCAATGTTTTGTCTCCATCAACAAGTTTATCCATAGCTTGTCATCTTTTGAGCTGCTTCTGCTGCTCTTGTGGGTGTATGGCTGCTCCCGTGGCTTTACTCTTCACCCCTGGTACCAGTTGATGAATTTCCCCTTTACACATGAGGAGTGTTGCTGCCTTCTGCCCTGTTGTCTTGATTCCTAGGTGTTTTTTTGGTTCTGGATGATCTGGAGTCTGTAGGGAATATTCTCCAGTCTGAAATTTGCTTTCTTGTTTGTATTAGTGGTTTTTTTTTTTTGTTTTGCTTTTTAAAATAGCGCTTTTTAACAAGAAAAACTTCCAAGTTTTATTGATGTTCAGTTTATGAACTTTGCAAAAGGCAGGTGTCGCCCCTAGGAAGTCTGTGTCAACAGAGGTCATAAAGATCTGTTTTCTTTGGGAGAGGTGTAGTTTGGGCTTTTGTGTTGAGATCTGTGCTCCATCCTGAATTGCTTTGTGTATTGGGCGCGAGTTGTAGAGGCTTTCCTGGGCCCATCTCTTTATCACAGCACCTTTGAAAGGGAGGGTCAGTCAACGGTGCAGGTAGCTGTGTCAGTCTTTGCTTTGGTCTCTCTCCATTCAGACCAACAATTCATCAGCTTGTCTAATGTATGGTGCTGGAGGTTGAGCCCAGGACAGTATACACATACTAGGCAAGTGCCCAGTCTTAACTCTGGGCTGGAATCTCACACTGCTGACTTCTCTGAGATTGTTTTTCCAATATAGATTTTGGCTTTGAACAACAAGTAAAAATCCAAGAGAATAGGGTGGTGGGGGTTTTCCAGAAAGCCTTTGGAACTTTTAGATTATACAATTTTGAATCTAAATTGCCATTTTCTTTGCTTTTGTAGCTAGCATCTTAAAATGTCATTTTCCAGACACAGATGAGTGGCAGCCAGAGAGTACAGAGGTTTATTTGGTGGCAATGGACATCCATCAAACTTAGACCGGTGGGATGGTGTTCACATTCCAACCCACTAAATCATTGAATCGTACACCTGCAAGGGTGAATTTTATCTGACTGAGGATATGTTAATTATTTGACAGTGTGTACAAGTGTTTCTTTCCTATGTGTGTCTGTGTACCATGTGCATGTGGTACACATGAAGACCAAAAGGAATAAGATCCCCTAGCACTGGAGTTATAGGCAGTTGGGGGCTATCGTGTGGATGCTGGAAACCAAACCTTGTCCTCTGGAAGCGCAACAAGTGCTCCTAACCACTGTGCCTCCTCTCCAGCCCAACCCGAACCTGATTTGTATTTGTATTTGTATAAGGAGGGTTTGGCTTCTTTCTAGTTTACAGTATATCTTATGTCCTACTTCCATTAATTCAGTGAGGAGGACACCCAGCTGGATATTGAGCCTGGGCAGTGCAGAGACCTCCCCTGTCCTGTTACTGATTTTAATCGAGAAGCAGTCCGTTCCTCTTTAAGATGTGATACTAGATAAGGGATTTCAGACAGTTCTTATCCTTCTCTGCCGAGAGTAGTGGCCATCAGTCAGTTAAATTCTGTCACTGCTGAGTTGATTGCTGGTCATATCTTGTCATCTTTTTCAGACTAACACATGTTGTGGTCTTAAAAATGAGCTGTGCATCTCTGAGACTCATGATGTATTCTTTCTGTATAGAACTGGTTTTGTGAATTTGTGTCGGTGGGATGCATATCTGTAATGGTCTTGTTTTGTTGGATTTATGTGTCAGAATTGTGTAGCATATAATTTCGAAAGTTGCAAAGTGTTCCTTCTTTGTTCACTGTAAGAGCAAAATGTGAGATTCAGACCTGGGAGGTGGATTGCCCCAGCCCGCGAGGATTCCACGAGACCCTAGGGAAGGGGGTGAAAGAATGAAGGGACAAGAGACACAAAGGATGAGAGCAAGTCTGGGGTTCTGATCAAGCTCTGCAACATTAATTTCAGGAGGCAGGTTGCAAAACAGGAAGGTTAAGCAAGGGTCATTGCTTAGGGCTATCCCACTATTGAATCCTCCTTCTCTGAGACCATCCCACTGTCATATCCATCTGGCTCCATTCTTTAAGTTCCTGGTACCTGAGACCCCAAACGTCCTTTCTTAACCTTGTACTGACTAGGCTTTCCAGAACAGCAGGTAATTTCCTGAGGTTCTCTTAGAACAGCAGGTAATTTCCTGGGTTTGGCTCACAGCAGTGGATTGCCAAATGAAGCTCCTTTTCATCAGGCGTAAGGACTTGAGTTTGACTTCCCAGAGCCCACAGAAGCTGCACAGGGTAGCTCATGTCTATAATCCCAGTGATGCTATAGTGCGAAGAGGAGGTGGGAGAGGCTGGCCTGACCTATAGAGCAAATGAGAGCCTGTCTCAAGGTGGAGGGTGATGAGCAAAGGATGACACTGTAGGGTGGGTGACCTCACCTCCACATGCCCCCATACACATACAAAAAAATGTCAGACTTGTGTAAATGTACCATTATAAATCTCCTGAATTGTCACTGAACTGTTTTGGCCTGGGATCTGTGTTTGTAGGAGTTGTTTAATACAGCTTAATTTTTCCCTCAGATATCAGGATTCCTTCCCCCTTTCTGTTATATTTTGGGTGTACACACTTAGGTAGTTTGTGTTTTTAAGGATTCTACACATGTCATCAAAGTTATGGAATTTTCCAGTAGAAAGTTGTTCATAATGTATGTGCATAGGTATACACTTTTTTTCTTTTAAAACATGGGCTCTTGTATAGAGCAAGCTAGTCTCAAACTCAGAAGTCTGCCTACCTCTGCTTTCCAAGTATTACAAGCGTCTGCCACCATGCCAGGTTTCATAGTATCTTTCTCCAGCCCCAGGGTTTTTCAAGACAGAGTTTCTCTGTATAGCCCTGGCTATCCAGGTTAGTGTCAAACTCAGAGATCCTCCTGCCTCTGCCTCCCTCTAGGACCAAAGGCATGTACCACCACGCCAGGTTCCATAGTATATTTAGTGTCATGGGCTCTGTTTGAAGCCCCCTTCACCATGAATATTTTAAATTTGTTTTTTCTTTTAACTAGGTTTGCTAAGAGGGTGCAGCTTATTCATCTGCCCAGAACAAACATTTTGCTTTGTTGATTTTTTTTTCCTTCTGTTTTTCTGATCTCTGTTCTTTCCTCTGCTCAGTCTCTTTTTTTTTTGCACAGCATCTTTGCACACACGCTTTCCTTGTTGATCTCACTTGTGATGTGCAAGCTTGATTTCCATTTAGTTAAGAGTGTGCTGGGGTACAGGCATGGGGCCAAGCCGGTCGTCTGTCTTGAGAAACATTCCCTGTGGTGGAGACAGGCGTGCTCTGGTCCCTGGTAGAGGTGGTTGATAATTTTACTGCAATCTTTTACTTTTTGCAAAGTCCCCCCAACCCCCCACCCCATACAAATATGGTGGATACTTGCTTTTCTGCCAGTGGGATTTCTGCTGTGCTTCATGTATTCTCAATAATTATTGTATCTTTTTGTTTTTAAAATATTTAAAATTTATATTTATTCATTGTCCTTTTGTATGCATGTGTATCACACATGTGCATGCACACGCACACACACACACACACACACACACACACACACACACACACTCCAAGGTTAACTTGTGGAAATTCTGTCCTTCACTGTGGGTCTAGGGAATAGAACTCAGGTTATCAGAAACTGCAGCAAATACATCACCCACTGAGCCGCTTCCTTGGCTCTGTTGTGTCTTTTTGTTGTTGTTTTGCTTTCGAGACAGACTTTTGCTATGTAGCCTTGACTGGCCTCAAGCTCCCTGTATTGATGAGGTTGCCCTGGAATTCGCAGAGCTCCAATTGCCTCTGAGTGCTGGGATTAAAGGCATGTCCCATCACACCATGCTTTTAATTGTTCTATCCTAATGACAAACTAACCAGTCTATAATTAGGAGATATCTCCCTTTATCTTTGATAATTCTTACTTGTATGTGACTTATATGTAAGCATGGGGCTCACACTTGTCCTCCTAGCCTGAAGAGGCCAGGGCGGAAGACCCACTCCAATGTTGAGGCCTCGGCCCTGCAGAGTCAGATCTTTACGTGGGTTTCAGGGTTTAAGCTCAGGTTGTTGGGTGGTAGGCAACTTAACCCACTGTGCTATTTTGCTTACCAGCTTTTAAATGTAAAGTTTTCATTACATTTATTTATCATGTCTGTCTGTCTGTAAGGGAGACAAAGAGCACACATCCTGCAGTGTGTGTGTGTGGAGGCCCAAGAACAACAGCCTTGAAGACTTGGCTCTCTGTTGCCACTGTGTGGGTCCCAGCAGTTGAACACCCTTTGTTTCTGCTGGTGGTGCGTGCCTTTAATCTCAACATCTGGGCACAGAGCAGTTGAAGGCCAGACTAGTCTACATAGCAGGTTCCAGACCAGCTAGGGTTACATAGTGACTTTCTTTCAAACATTTACACAAAAGAAAGAAAAGCAGTTCTCGATAGTTCACATGCTGTAATCTTTTTTTTTTTTCATAATCTTTTAAAGTTAATTTTATTTATGTATATGAGTGTTTGGTCTCTGTGTGTTTGTGTACCACCTGTATGGCTAGTACCAGCAGAGGCTAGAAGTGGGCGTTTGTGCCCCCTGGGACTGGAGTTACAGACAGTTGTAAACTGCCACATGAATATTGGGAATTGAACTGGATGTTCTACCAGAGCAGCCAGTTTTAACTGCTGAGCTGACTCTTCAATAATATTAATATTTTTATTTTTAATATTGCTTTTCCATTATATGACTACAGTGAGCCCATGTGTAAATCTTTTGGGATTCATGTTTCTTGGCCTTTTGAGATGTGTGAGACAATACTGGCCTTGGTTTCTCGAAGCCTCTTTCTTCAGAATTGTTGCTCTACACATGTTAGGCCAGGGATAATGTATGTCAAGGGGTCTGTGAGCTAAGAAGCAAAATATTCTGGTTTTGAATTGGGATAACTTTTATTACTTTCCCTTAAACATGATGTGCATGTGTGAATGTGTGCGGGCGTGCGTGCGTGAGTGAATGTGTGTGGAAGCCAGGGGTCAACTTTCTGTGTCAATTCTCAACTGTTTGTCCTTGTTTCTGTGTCAGAGTCTGTCTGTCACTTGGACCTGAAGCTTACAGATTATTCTAGGCTGGCTGGCCTGTGAGCTCCCAGAATCCACCTGTCTTTGTTTCTCCAGCGCAGTGATCAAAACTCAGGCCCTCAGGCTATGGCAAGCACTACCCTGACTGAGCCATCTCCTAGACCCCTTGAAGATTCCTTTTGGTTTGTGTGACCACCAGTTCACATTTGTGCTGTAGACAGTCCCTCTCTATGCAGGTAGCCATGGCACAGGACCTCCCTCAGGCTGTACACCACCTTTGTGGCTGACTCACACGCCCACACACTGTAATCCTGGAGAGCCTGCCTATGGGATGTCGTATGTAGCAGACTGAGGGAATCAATCCAGTTGCCATCTTTTTTGGCTTAGAAATCTCTCTACCCCTGCAGCTCTGGGGTCTGCCAATCTCCTGGGCTGTGGCTTAGAAATCTCTCTACCGCTGCAGCTCTGGGTTCTGCCAATCTCCTGGGCTGTGGCTTTGAAACTGTTCTAGAACCACAGTGAATGTGAAGCTCAGACTCTCCCACCCCCAGAAACCCTAATCCCCAAACAGCTTGCCTTCCATTTCCTCTGTACATTTTTAAGGCAAGAGGCTAAGTCCAAAGTCAAATGCATTGTGGGAGAGCCTTAATCTCTATTGCAGACTGATGTCCCCAAGGGTACTGGTACCTGGTGAAGAAAGTGCCCCTTGCTGGTGCACCTTCTCCTATCACAACAATGGTGGAGGAGACTGTCTTAGGACTCTATTATCTGACCTGCTGAACGATGCGCCTAGAACATGTTAAGCATTGGTGCAATCCTTTTAATGAATGTGCTCCTGTAACAAGTACATTTGCACAAAAGCCTCAAGCCTGGCTGGGTTGAACTGGTCAGTGCTGAGGTTCTTTCTCGGTCTTTTATTTTGTCTCAATGGAGATTGATAAGTGGGTGTGTTGGTTTACTTGCTAGCTTCTTGGGTCAGAAACCTGTTGGTCTCCATGTTGTGCATTCATCCACTGGAAAGAGGGTGGGCAGAGGCTCTCTTGTCGCCTGGGCTTTGTGGTTCCAGTCAGGTTCCTGTCATGCCATCCACAACATACAGGAAACCCTTTCTGAAAGGAGGCCTGACTCAGGCTCGAATCAGGCACTGGCATGTGGCTGGCATTGGTCATGTGGTGCTTTACGGACTCTGCTGCTCTTTTCCTGTCGGCGTCACGTCTGTAAGAAGCTGAGGTTGCCATGGTTAGAAACTGCGTCAGTTCGGTCTCTCAGCAACGGAGGGGGCTGGGTGCTGCAGACTGAAGCAAGGGCCAGCCCACTAGGCTTACAAATTATTGTGAGAGCTTCTGGCTGGTTAAATATGCAACCCTTTAATGTTCTTCATTTCACTGTTAATTGTAGGGGGCCTTAAATGGGTCCAGATTCGAGATTGTGATGGTCAAAGAGATGTTTGAGTAGTGTTGTAACTGATTGTGGGATCTCCCCCCCTACACACACACGCACACGCACACACATGCACGAGCTCCCCCACCAAGCAACCAGTGCTTCATTGTGCTTGCATGGTGATGCTGTGTCTCCCTAGGATCCCACTTCCATCCCTAGTGAGAAGAGCCCAGCAGTATAGCTTGGCACAACAGGCTCAGCAGAAGGCAGCTGAGTGCCGCTTTCCTGCTTTCCCCATATCCCAGGCATAGCTGCGCCTTGCTGCCCCCGCCCTGGCCCCATCTTTGTCCTTCCCCCATTGTTCCATGCAGAGCAGTCTGTACGAAAGCCAGGATGGGCCCAACATGGAGTCTCTGATGGCCAGAGATCTGTCATTGTTAGCACTGTGACCCGAGGTGAGTCCTGTGGACCCCACCCTCCAGCAGTGTCCTATGTCCCTCAAGCTCAGTCTTGCTTGCCCTAATGAGAGTCTCATACAGCCAGCCCTCAAGAGATAGCTAGCCCATGTTGCTTGAGGGCATGGCTAGACTCAAAATATAGTTAACTGTACCCCCCTCATCCATCCCTTTCCTTCTGGCCTTGACTTGAGTCTCTCGTGTGGTACAGTCTGCTTTAGTGGTTTTAGAATGCAGTTGGGTACATGTGTTAAAGTAAGAGTATTACATGCTCCCAGCCTGCTATTGTAGTTTTAAGTGATTATCTCAAAAGGATAGGTATAGGGTGCCAAACTTCAGAGACATGGAATGTAGTCAGTGGCTTACCCGGCTGTTAGGATAGCTTGATGAGGTCTACTTTTATAGGCAATGTGGTTCCACTGTATATAGTAATAAGGTCATATTTCTCAAGATACACAGTAAGATTACATCAGGCCCCAGATATAAGCAGTGAGCCTTGGAGTCTGTGGCAGGAGGGTTAGATTTCCCAGCACCCACAGGAAGTAGGTAACAACCAACCAAAATTCCAGTTCCAGGGAATTCTCCACCCTCCACGGGCACTGTACTTGCACACACACACCCACACACAATACATGTAATTAAAAATAAAATGCAAATCTTTTTTCAAAAAACAAAATGGAATAATTTAAAAATATTTAATGTGTCTATTTGTGTAAAAGCTTGGAATTGTTCAGAGTATTCTGGAAAGGCTGGGGTGGAAGGCAATCTGAACAAACTTTGAACTTAGTGCCACAAAGAGAATGCACTAACATAAAACCTACATCATTAGAAATTTAAAAACTTCCAGAACGGTAGTGAGAGTAACAAACACATGCCAGTTACTGCACAGCAGTTCCCAGGGAGGGACCAGGAAGTAGGATGCAGAGGAGAGCTCCCGCAGTGGCCTTTTACCGCTGTCCCTTGCTCTTTGGGGCTCTGTGCATCAGTGTCCCTGCATATAAAATGGCGATGGTGGTGTGACCTGGAGGTTCTTGAGAGGTGGAGCAATTTGCTCCCTGGTGGTTCAACATGTAGGCTGCTCTTGAGCACAGAGTCCACAGGTGATTCCAAGGGCTCACTTTTACAGCTTAGTGAGGTCAGGAGACTGGAGCGGGCCTGGGGCTGGCCTAGTCAGCAGGGCTTCCTCTGAGATGTCTCTACAACTACCTCTGCTTGCCTTGAGGAAGGGTGGGTGAGGGGTTTCATTGGAAAGATGTTGGTGATGGTTATACACCACACCTGTGACTGTAAAAAGTGGAGTCTGTGGACTACCAGGGACACACAGCCTCAAACAGAGGTATGGGTGTGTTCAATCTACAACTTTGAGACAGAAATTCCAATGGTTACCCTTCAATGTACCTCAGCACTCGAACGTTAGGGTAGCATCCAATCTCTGCCCCATGTAACTCAATAGAATGTTCTCCCACATTTGTGTGACCAGGAAAATGAGATGAGCCCACTTCAGGTGCTAGGTTGATTTTTTTTTTCCCTCCCCCCCAACCCCCCACAGAAGAGGGTGGAAAGCCACGTGACAAGCGGAACCCCCTGGCCTCCTAAAGGGCCTTTAAAGCTAGTTTGTATCAGATGGATGCCAGGCCTCAACTTCACTGACATTTTGCTGAATTTTCTGTCTGCTTTAGGGAAATAGTGGAGCACATGGTCCAGCACTTTAAAACCCAGATCTTCGGGGACCGGAAGCCAGTGTTTGATGGAAGAAAGAATCTGTACACAGCTATGCCCCTTCCAATCGGCAGGGACAAGGTGAGGCTACATGTGCTGGGGCCTAGTGCAACTAATGGGTGAGATTCAGACATGTTTCAAGGTTACTTATTTCTGTGATATAGAAGATCACTTCATTTGGGAGGCACAGGTGGCTGCTGTGCGTGGGGTTCATCATGAGGGGTATGGAGTGTGCTGAGGTTTACAGAGACTGCTCAAATACCAAACGCTCCCAAGTGCAACCCACAGACCACCACACACTGTGTGTGAGTGTCGTCTGTGTGTGTGAGTGTCTGTGTGTGTGAATGTGTGTGTGTTGCTGGCAATAACACGAAGCGGATGTGCTGCAGCAGCCTCCTGCAGTGAGGGGGAGGAGGAGGAGGAGGAAGATGAGTCAACCTGGTGTGGTGACCATAGAAGATATTACCTTCCCTTATTATTTTTAGCCTTATCGTGGCTTTATTTAAAAAGTAATAAAGCTTCTGTCCAGACTTTGACAGTCTGAGAATGAAGGGACGGCACATTTCCTGCAGGCCTGAAAAAACATCGTGTTGCTAAGTGACCGTGTACCTTGGCTCCTTCGTGCCTGTCTGTATTCCCAGTGGAGCCAGGCAGTCGTGGTACCTGGTGGCTCTGCTCCAACTCACCATGCTGACAGGAACACACTGTTAGGGCAAGGAAAGGGCTGGTGACTACACAGCTGTGTGTCATGTTCTGATCTTCCCATCCCCCACCCCCACCTCCACCCCCACCCCCCAGTGGCACGTGGGTTGTCGCTGCCACTCCCGGAGTGGATAATGGGCGTAGGGTTCTGAGTTGGAGGGAATCCCAGGACTGGGTGTGAATGAACTGTGCAGGCTCTCCCTGGCAAATTAACATACTGTGAATTGAAGATTTATTGATCTTAAGGTTTTGTGTTTAATTTACACATTTGTTTTTATTTAAAGCTCTATAAGAAAGAAAAGCATAAGGAGTTTATTCACAGTTTTGTTGGTACAAATTTATAATTAGACACTGGGAGGAGCATGAAGAGAAACCTCTTGAAGGAGGGATGGGGCACCTCCCATGCTCAGATGCAGATCCACAGTCGTGTGAGCTAACTGCCCAGACTGGAATGAGAATAGGTGTAGTAGGTATGTCTTTCCTAGTAACTGGACCTGACACAAGCCACCTCACCTTGCCAGCCTTGCTAGTGCAGACTGGGACAGCCAGGATAGGCAGCCCCACCTCTCCTGTGTGGTACACTTCGGGTCTCAGCTGCCATGTGGGCTTTCATCCTGGGTCTGGGAGCTTCATGTGCCCCTCTCTGGTTCCACACTACAAGTGTAAGTAGCAAGGTTTGAAGACATCTAGCCCACTGCTATGCGAGCCCCTGGTAGGTATAATGGGCACAGTTGATTGCCTGTGCTAGCCCACACAGCATTTGGAGATGCACAGTTAGTCCCTTGTAACTTAATCCTTGTCTCCCGTGGCAGTGTTTTCAGATGACAAGCTGGCACGGGGTTTCCCCTCTGTCTGAGTCAACAAAAAATAGTTTCCCTTTCTTTATTACAGCAAAGCTTTGTCTTCAGTCCTTTTCTCTTTTGTCTTCTGTAGTAAGAAAGGACTCTCCTTGAGTCCATTAGCTCAGTGGAGACTGTGATACCTGATATGGGTCCATGCCCACGTGCACATCACCTTCCTAAGGAGCAGTCCTCTCCAGACTCAGCTCATGCTCTCCTTAGATGTCACAGGGCTCGCTGCCAGCACATGTGGAAAGAAAGCAGCTCCTTAGGGCCGAAAGGACGTGTGTCTGCCACGCCCATGGCTTCACTTTTAGATGGGACAGAACAAGTTAGATGCTGATTGCTCTAAATTGGGCACTGACATCCTCCGTCTCTTTTTACCAAAACCGTGACTGGTAATGTTACCCGTGGCTGTGTTTGGCTGTGTCCAGCCATGCCTTCTTTTGCTAGCTGCCTGTAGGTTAATCTGAGCTGCTACCTCCCGGGCTAGGGAGAGTGTATCCCCTTCTTAGATGGCAGTTATGGCCCCTGCTAGTAGCCTCAAGCTGTCTAGTAGCCAGTGGGCACTGGAGAGGAAGAACAGAAGGCAGCCATGGGCATCCATCCCTAGGGATCCCTGTGATAGTTGTACTTGAGACATGTTGCTAGGAACTCTGATAAGCCACATACCTTTATGGGCTTGTGTCACTGCCTTGCACCTGCCAGGGTGCTTCTGGACCCCCAGCACACTTCTCAAACACGCTGGTTCTGATACAGGTGTTTGGAGGGCCTCTGTCCTAGTTGACTTTCTGTTGCTCATAAACACCATGACCAAGAAAGAGAACACCACGATTTGGAGGAGAACAGGTTCGCTTGGCTCACATGTCCTGATGTCTTAGTTAGGGTGTCATTGCTGTGAGGAGACACACTGACTAGGGCAACTCTTACAAAGGCCAACAGTTAATTGGGGCTAGCTTACAGTTTCAGAGGTTTAGCCCATTATCATTATGGCGGGGAACATAGCAGCATGCAGGCAGACATGTTGCTGGAAAAGGAGCTGAGAGTTCTACATCCTGATTTGAAGGCAGCAGCAGGAGACTATGTGCCACACTGGATTTAGCTGGAGCATGGGAGACCTCAAAGCCTGCCTTCACAGTGGCGTGCTTTCTCCAACAAGGGCATATCTCCTGATAGTGCCACTCCCTATGGGCCAAGCATTCAAACACAAGAGTCTATTCCTCTTCAAACCATCAAACCTGATCATAATCCCATCACCAAGGTAGCCAGAGGAAAAATTCACCGCAGGGACAGAGGCGTGAACGGAAGCAGAGGCCATGAAAGACTCATGCTTCCTGGCTTGTTTGCTTGCTCAGCTTATGCAGCCCAAGACTACCTGCTCAATTGTGGTGCTTCCCCCCCAAAAAAATAAAAGTTTATTAAATGTCCAAAGTTGCTTAATTGGATTTCTGTGCACTCACCCTAAGGAAAAATACTTAGAGAATCTTTCATCTTGATGCTGGTGGTCTCTTACTAATTCCAGCTGGTTCTTCAGCCCCAGCTGACCACCATCAGTTGCCCCAGTAAAGCATAAAAGGTTTCATTAACACACTCTTAATTCAAATACATCATTCCAATGGCTCTGATAGTCTGTGTCCCCCTGAAACTTCACAGGCCAGGCTTCCATTGTCTGTACTACTCTTACCACTCTTGTATTTCAAGCTCCTGTAACAGTAGCTTGTTAGGTTCTGAGCACTTCCCATCCAAGTTCCAAATGCTTCAATGACCTTCCAATAGAGCAACATGGTCGGGTCTGCCACGGCAACACCCCACTTCTGATACCAGTTTCTGTTCTCGTTTCATTTCTGTTGCTGAGTAAAACCAAAAGCAGTTTGGGGTTTGGGGAGGATTTATTTGACTTAAAGGATGTAGTGCATTATTCATTGAAGACAAGTGAAGAACCTATAGGGGGGAGACGGAAGCAGGGACCAGAAAGAGCACGAACCTCCAGCTTTCTCAGCTTGCTTGCTTTTGTGTAGCCCAGAACCACATGCCCAAGAGAAGCTCCACTCAGAGTGGGCTGGGCCCTGCTACATCAGTCGTTAGTTAGGAAAATTGGTCATCACAGACCAATCTGATGAAGGTAGTTCCTCAGTTGAGGTTCCCTCTGCCCCGGGGGTTCTAGTTGTGTCAAGTTGACAAAAAAAAAAAGAAAAAGAAAGAAAAATCCTTGTCCAGCACAGTGACTTGTTTTCCCAGAAGATTGCCATGCAAAGTCACAGCAGCTCCCTGGGCACATTGAAACAGGACGTGACCTGCGTGTCCCTGTCAGAAAAGGATACATGGCACCATGCCCTGCAGCTGTCTCTCTGGCCAGCATAGTGGTTGTGACGCCAGACACCTGCTGGTACTGTCACTCTTCTATGGGGATGGGGGTAGGTGGTCCTGCAGCTCAGGACAGGGAAACCTTAAAGACACAGCTGCTTCGTGAGTTCACAACTTTGGGGGCAAACACTACTTCTTTGTGTCAGGTTGCAGCTTTGTTTCTTAGTGGTGTGTTGTTCTAAAATGTACATATATTTACTCTCAATTTGATTCCTTCTTGCAAAAATGTCCAAGCAAGAGCTGCATGGCTCAATGTTCTCAGAGGTTGAGTCTATAGCCAGCCCACCATCTTCCCTACCTAGATTGGTACCATGTGATGTACCAGCCATCCTTGGGTTCTGAACACGCCAGTTTGAAACCCAGTCCCCTTTCTGCCCTTTCCTGGCCCTGGGGCCTTGCCAGCTCAGTGTCTGTGGTGATAAAGTAAGATGAGGTGAACCCATCTCCCTGCTGCAAGTTTTGGGTACATGAAGATAAAGTATTCCGGGGGGAGGGGGGGAAGGCTTGATAACAAAGGCACTTTGAGCATCACCTGAGTGGTTGGTTTGTGGAACACTGTCATGATACGCTGTTGTAGGCGGTGGTGATTCCAACTATGGCCATAGATCTGGGTAGATTGAACAATCATTATGGGAGAAAAGTGGGCATGTCTGGGGGAGTCATGCGTGTCCAGTATGCTGCTCACTGACCTCACACCGCTGTGTGATTGCACACGTGTTAAAAGTAAAGAAAATTGAGTCTGGGGAAGTGGATCTTGGGGTAAAGAGCTTGTCACAAAAGTATGGGGACCTGGGTTCTGTCCTCAGCACCAGGTGCAGAGATCCCTTGGCCTCACTGCCTGATCACCCTAGCCTAATTAGCAAGCCACAGGTTCAGAGAGAGACGGGAACTACAAAGTGGGAAGCAGCTGAGGAAGACCTTGGGCTACCACACACGTGCACCCCTGAAGAGACAAGAAAATCAAGTTAAAATTTTCTGCTTTTCCTGAGATAATGACCTCTGTGCTTTGGTTTGCCAGGTGGAACTGGAGGTCACGCTGCCGGGAGAAGGCAAAGATCGCATCTTTAAGGTATCCATCAAGTGGGTGTCATGCGTGAGCCTGCAGGCGTTACACGATGCACTTTCGGGGCGGCTGCCCAGCGTCCCCTTCGAGACGATCCAGGCCCTGGACGTTGTCATGAGGCACTTGCCATCCATGAGGTGAGGGCATCGGGTGGGTGGGTGGGGACAAAGACTGCAAGCTGATGCTGAGTGTTCACAGAAAGGTTGAGATCTTGACCGAGCGAGCATGTAGTCTGTGGGGCAAACGATCTGTGATGAAAGAACTGTCACCAGCAGCCTTGCCTGGGTGTAAAAGGGGGTGTAGAAGGTTCGCCTCTCTGGCTGTGAACTCTCACAGTCCTGTGCAGAGTCTAGAGCAGCTCTAGGACAGCACACTGACCACTCGTACTGTGCTTGATTGAATGCCCATCCTTGATACACTTTTCCGCAGCGTGACAATGGCCAGCACCAAAGGCATCAGCCTGTTTCATTAGAGAGTCTCCCTTTGCTATATATCTAGTAAGAGGCGAGATCATTTCAGTGGCTTGTCATTTTCCCAATTGCCAGAGTGTTGCACAGACTAGCACATGGGACCAAGGCCAGGGAGCCACATCTGAACTTGGCTTTCACACAATGCACACAGTAGGACCTCAGGAATGGTGAGAATGGTCCTATAAGATCAGAAGTGAGAAGCAAAAAAGAGCTGCATGCTTAGGCCCTGCGACTGACTCCTTCCCCTCTGCTCTGAAGAACACTGGGTGTTCCCTGGCTCTGTGCTTACACATTAGGCATAGAGGAGACTATATCCCAGAGCCAGCTGTCGCTCTCAGCAGGCCCCTGTCCTACCTCTCACTGCTAAGACATGTTGATGGGAAGGAGGCAAGCAGGTACAGTAATAGCCTACAATGGCAATCAACAAAATCTTGCCTGTAGTTTAAAAACAAACCAGTGTTTACTTTATTTTGTAGGCATGCCACCAGTGTGTGTATAGGTCAGGGGACAGCTGTTAGGAGTCAGTTACTTCTTTCCACCATATGGATCCTGGAGACAGAACTCAGGTCCCTAGGCTTGGCTACAAGCACCCTTACCCCCTGAACCATCTCACTGGCCGAATTGTCTTTGCTTCTAGTTGAGCAGCGGGAATTCCTATGGTTTCCTCCTGAATTCCTTTGGATTGTTTATACTCATTTTTACAATTGGGAGATTGTCAAGATGTAACAGAATTAACAAGCACAGGCAGAAAGTGAGAAGGGCATGCTCCATGATTTCATTAGCAGACAGAGCCACCTGTGTATCCCACTCTGGGGTGGTGAGACACCTCCGTGTAGTAGGATGTAGGCGAGGGTGTGTGGAGGTGTCTGCAGTAGGTGGCTGGGCTATACTCCAGTCATCTGTGTGCATAACTGGCCTGCAGGCCTTATGGATCTTTTCACAGCTGAGATCAGGCTCCAGAAGCAGGGAGCTGTCCACAGGTTTGTCATTGAAAGAAGCTAGGACAAACAGGGAGCTAGATGGTGGTCCACAGCCACACAGAGAAATGGTAGTCCCATGGCTTGGAGCTGGCTGCTCCAGCTGCCTCTGCCTGGTAGCTTCTAGGATTCTACCCATGCTAGCGTTGAGCTGTTCCTACCTTCATAGCACAGCCCTTGACTAGGAAGACTTGAAGGGATATGCCCAGCTATGTGCACTGTACAGTGGAAATAAGGATGAGGAGGGAGGATGGACACACCAGCTAGATCTGCATAGACCTAGGGCCTCAGCCGGAGGCTGCTCCCAGATTAACGCTGTCCTTTCGAGAGTGGCAAGGAAGGTGCCCTCCTGCACGTGTGGAGCGGCGCGTTTGAGCTCTAGAAGCACAGTGGGGCGTGTCTCACACTGAGCCAAGCCTTGAGAAGGCCCCTTCCACTCTGTCAGTTCCTGTGTTAAACATCTGACAGTCTTAAGTCCACGGAGCTACTGCTTACACAGGGAATGCAGACTAGAACTCCATGTCATGGACATGACTTTACAGAAGAAAGCCTAGAGTGATCTCTGAGTGTAGGCATGCCTGCTGGGGCAGCTGGCTGGGAAGATGGCTGGGCTGATGCCATCCGATTAGAAAAGGGCTTATCTCCGTTTGCAGGTACACCCCTGTTGGCCGTTCCTTCTTCACTGCATCTGAAGGCTGTTCCAACCCTCTGGGTGGGGGCAGAGAAGTCTGGTTTGGCTTCCATCAGTCCGTCCGACCTTCTCTTTGGAAAATGATGCTGAATATTGATGGTAAGGGGAAGCCCATGGGCTTCACGCCAGGGTGGATGGGACCCATGCAGCCTTCACTGAAGTGGGCGGAGCCTTCACTGAAGTGGGCGGAGCCTTCACTGAAGTGGGCGGAGATTTGAAAACATACAGAGGAGCCCAGGTTCTCATAGCCATCTTTAGCAGAGCTCTGATGTGATACCAGCCTGTGTTCACCATCTCTTTGGTGTCTGAGACAGTTCCTAATTGGGCATCAAAACCCTTGGAGTGCTCCACTCCCAGGGACCCTTTAGCCAGCCTAGAGAGCTACCTTTGCCAGGCCCTTTGCACTACTAGAGCACCCCAGGTATGGGGCTGGGGCCACGCCCTTCACTCTCTCCCCATGTTTCCCGATTACTCACATTGCTGCTTGAACTAAGGAAAGGACAGTATTGGGTGCCAATGGCTGGCTACTGCCCAGTGGTCTTCCAGCCTTGGGGTATATTAGACCTATCATTGCTGTGACAAGTACATAGAAGAACCCATTTAAATCTGTAAAGATTAACTCAGGTTTAGAGGTCTCAGTCCACCGTAAGCTCATGTTCTCATTCTGAAGCCAAGAACCATGGCAAAGAGGCTGTGGACAGCATAGCTGCTTATCTCATGGTGGCTAGGAAGCAAGGAGATAGAAAGGGGCCAGGGACAAAGTGCATACCTAAGACCCCCCTCCCCACCCAGGAATCAAATTCCTCCAGAAATGCGGTCAGTCAGTGGACTAATCCATCGGTTGTCTCAGAGCCCCCACAATCCATTTAGCTTTCAATGATGGGGGAGATACTGTAGCCCCCCGTGCTGTTTCCCGTACTTCAGGAGCCTCAAGGTCATACTCTGCTGAGTCCTCTTCCCTCTCCCAGAGACTGACAGGCAGGAGCAGATAAATTCTTAAGTATACCCCAGCAAGGCCCCGCAGGCCACATCATGGTTAGATGCACCTTGATTGCAAAAGAATTATATGAATGGAACACTTCAGAAATTATTCTAGCTGAAGGTGGCCAAACAACCTGACACGATCCAAAGTCCTGACTGCCCCTACCATGCTAGACTTGTTCAAGATCCCTGTAATTCTTCTAGTGACTTCTTCAGCTTCAGCCAATCCCTTACCGTTGTCCTTGGCTGGAGGAAGCACGGAGTCTCCTGGGGTCAGTGCCTCCCGTGGCGTGTGGAGCCATGGGCATAGTGGACATTACTTACCTCACCACAAAGCGTCCGGGGCGCTCCACAGAGGAGAAAGGAGACCGGGCCTCCTGAGCAGTGACTAATTAGTCACATGGGTTACTCTAGATGCCTCCGTTGAACTTTCTTGTCTGTCTCTTCCTTTTCCTGCACATAGTATCAGCAACAGCGTTTTACAAGGCACAGCCAGTGATCGAGTTTGTTTGTGAAGTTTTGGATTTTAAAAGTATTGAAGAACAACAAAAACCTCTGACAGATTCCCAAAGGGTAAAGTTTACCAAAGAAATTAAAGGTAAAGAACCACCCAGCACAGCAGGCTGTGGGTGGGACCGCCCCTCCGGGTACAGGTGCAGGCTGTGGGAAGGGTGAGCCACAAGACACGCTGACTCTGAGTCGATTGGGACCCATGCACAGAGGGCCCATGACTCTAATGAGTACAGCCGCGTGGGTGGGAGGAGCTGGGTGTCCTGTCTGATCTACAAATGTTAGGTTCCGAGAAGGGTGGTAGTGGCACCCAAGTCTATGTGTTGAGTGTTTCTGGCAGAAGTCTTCTCTGGGTGAGGTGGATCCAGCCACCATGTTCTGTGGTTAGTCCACATTTCTTACTCCAGCTCTAGAACCCCATGGCCTCATCTGTGGCCAAAGCTGCCGTGTGTGCCTTGGACTGTAAGTGCATAACAGGTAGCTCTGATACCTGCTGTCTGTCACCAGGTCTAAAGGTGGAGATAACGCACTGTGGTCAGATGAAGAGGAAGTACCGTGTCTGCAATGTGACCCGGCGCCCTGCCAGTCACCAAACGTAAGGCAGCCAAACATCCAGCCCTGCTTTCAAACTCAGGCCTCTGCCCCAGTCACTCAGCTTTCCAGACACAGGAAGTCCTGGGACTGTCCTGCAAACAGCTGCCTGCCTCTGGGGCTCACTCACACTCTGTTCTAAGAAGTGAACTCCACAGGCTGGAGAAACGACTCGGGGGTTAAGAGCATAACACAAATTTGGTCCCAGCATCCATGTTGGGCATCTTACAGCCTCCTATAGATAGCTCTAGCTGCAGTGGTACCTGCACACACATGCACACACACATGCACATACACATTTAAAATATATTAAGTTGATTTTTGTTGTTGTTTTGTCTATATGTATGTCTATTCACAATGTGTATGCCTGGTCCCTGTGGAGATCAGAAGAGAACATTAGATTCCCTGGAACAGGGGTTTATAGGTGCCAGGAGTCAAAGCTGAGTCCTCTGCAAGAGCAGCCAGTGTCTTAAAGCAGTGGCCATTTCTCCAGCCCCTGTTGTGTTATGTTTTTAAATCGGGGATTTGTCACACAGACCAGGCTGGCCTGGAACTACTCATGGAGAAGGCTCTGCTTACCGAGTGTTGGGGTTTAAGGCATGTACCACCACGGACCACAAAATAATTTAGGGAAAAAGTGTAGAAAATAGTTGAGACCATTGGCTGCTCTTCCAGAGGTTCTTTGTTCAGTTCCTAACATCACATGGTAGGTCACGACTGCCTATAACTGTGGTCCTGTGAGATTCCATGTCTTCTTCTGGTGTGCAGACATACATGCAGACAAAATGTCCCACATTTGTATACAAAATGTGCACATAAAATACAAAGGTAAAATTTACAAGTGTAAATTCCAACATAGAAATCACACACACATACACACACACACACACAAGGGAGCAGAGAGTATCATCTTACCAGTGTTAGTGTGTCTGCTGTGCTGTCTCACGTAGGTCTAGGAGGGGTCAGAGACGCCTGTGGGCAGCCTGAGAATTGAGGATCTCTTGAATGGTCCAGGAAATGCTTGAAGCATTTGCTTCCTGCACAACACAGATGCTCAGCCCTGAGAAAGTCCAGTCTCCAGGGAGCCTGTAAAGTTCTTTCCTGAGTCACCTCTTTCCGCAGGTTTCCACTGCAGCAGGAGAGTGGGCAGACAGTGGAGTGTACAGTGGCCCAGTACTTCAAGGACAGGCACAAGCTGGTTCTGCGCTACCCCCACCTCCCGTGTTTACAAGTTGGACAGGAGCAGAAACACACCTACCTTCCTTTGGAGGCAAGTCTGCACTACTGACTGAGGAGAAGCCCAAAACCAGCCCAGCCTCCCTGATGCTGTAGGACTTGCTAACTCATGCATTGTTCAGACTTTTTCCCTTTGTGTATTCCTTCCCCTAAAATGGGATGAAAGTAGCAGCTTGGGTGGGATTACCCACCACACTCTTACTCACTTAGGATCTCACTGCATACCCCTGGCTGGCCTGAAATGTGTAGACCTGGCTGCCCTTCACTTCTTGGCGGTCCTACCTGTCTCAGCCTCGAGTCCTGGGATAATGGATGCCTTCCTTAAGCTTTCTGTCGCTGAAGAACTAAGAACAGTCAGGGAGGAAAGAGCAAACTTGATTTGCACTTCTACATTACTGTTCATCACCTAAGAAAGTCATTGCAGGAACCCAAAATGGGCAGAAACCTCAAGGTAGAGCTGATACAGAGTTGTGTGTGTGTGTGTGTGTGTGTGTGTGTGTGTGTGTGTGTGTGTGAGAGAGAGAGAGAGAGAGAGAGAGAGAGAGGTGCTTGCTGCTTACTGGCTTGATCTGGAAAGCTTATTCAGACTGCTTTCTTGTGGAGACCCCAGTACCACCAGCCTGGGGGTGAGATCACCCATGATGGGCTTGGCCCTCCCCATCAGTCACTAATTGAGAAAATCCTCTACAGGCTTGCCTACATCCTAGTCTTATGGAGACATTTTCTCAACTGAGGTGCCCTCCTCTCAGATGGTTATAGCTTGTGTCAAATTGGCATAAAATTAGCCAGTCTAACAGATGTGAGCCACTCGCTGTGCACAGGTCACACCCAGCAGAGTGCCACCAAAGCTTTGGTCCTCTTTCCATGCCAGGTTACCTGCAAGTTCTGTCGTGAGTGGTAGGCTTTGGAGTGGCCTCACCACTAGCCAGGGCTCTGGCTTGGATGCCCAGCCTCTGAAAACTCCCTCCTTACAACCAATAGTCATATACACAGTTCATGTGTTGACCTGTGTCCCCCTTCTTTGTAGGTCTGTAACATAGTTGCTGGACAGAGATGTATAAAAAAATTAACAGACAATCAGACCTCAACCATGATCAGAGCAACTGCCAGGTCAGCACCGGATCGGCAAGAGGAGATCAGCAAATTGGTGAGCACTGGGTCCTTGGGTTCCTCCAGGATGGGTACGCAAGGACACCCCCCAACCCCCAACATTCATGCCTGTTCTTTGAGCAGAGATGGCCTCCACTGACCTTTTTTGTCTTCTTTTTTTCCTTAAGATGCGAAGTGCAAGTTTCAATACAGACCCATATGTTCGTGAATTTGGAATCATGGTGAAAGATGAGATGACAGATGTGACTGGGCGGGTCCTTCAGCCGCCTTCCATTCTCTACGGGGGCAGGGTAGGTGCAGACGGGTGGCGAGCGTGTGCATGATGAACTGTGCCCATTGGTCCATGCATGACCAAGACTCAACCCCATCCACTCTCCCACCCTTGGTACATTAATTTATCCAGCTCTAGGCATCCACCCTTCCCATTCACTCGTGCTCACCACGCCCACCCATCTAGATTTGCTGTTGGCCCGGCCATCCTGTCATTTCTCATCTGGCTTGCCACCGTCCATCCAGAACACACCATTTTGCATGTGTGGGGGTTGCCTGTAGTGCACAGGAATACTAGACATGGAGATGGCACATGCGTGGTGATCTGGTGCTTTAGGAGTCATTGTTGGTCAGGGGGACCAGCAGCAAGAATGTTTTCATTTGTTCCCTACCAAACTACTTTGTATTTGCAGAACAAAGCTATTGCCACCCCTGTGCAGGGTGTGTGGGACATGAGGAACAAGCAGTTCCACACAGGCATTGAGATCAAGGTGTGGGCCATCGCCTGCTTTGCGCCCCAGCGCCAGTGTACAGAAGTCCATCTCAAGTAAGCCTGCTTGAGGCCTCCATGTGGTTGGCCTTGTTTCTGTTGGTCAGATGGGTCACTGGGGTTCCGATACCAGCAGCTGGCAGCCTTTCTCTAACAGAGAACACTCATCTAGGGTGACTCCTTTCATGAAATGTGACTGAGCAATAAGGTTAAAACAAATCAGTCACCATGGAAGTAGAGGTAGACAGAGTCAGTGGACTCAGACAGTAGAAACAACACACTTCACTTTCTAAGTAGCCATGGCTGTCCTAGAACTCAACTATGTAGACTCAGGCTGGCCTTAAACTCACAGAGATCTACCTGCCTCTGTCTCCACTAATGCTAAGATTATAGGTGTGTGCCCCCATCTCTGGCTAAAGATTTTTAATGATTTGTTTGTGACAGGGTAGATATGCTTCTGTCCATCCCATCATACGCTGTTTCTTTTCTACCACGTGGTCCCAGTGATAGAACTCAGATTGTCAGGTTTATACAAAGCACCTTTTCCTGTTGAGCCACTGTACTGGTGCTACTGTGAAATTTTTGTGAATTAAATGAGAAACGAAGCTGAGAACTGGGTGGGAAGAGACAATAGAAGAGGGCAGCATGGGGGCAGCCTGCAGTGGCTGCTCTCCTGTGTGAGGAAGGGTTTAGAGTGAACACATCGAGCTTTGGCATGTGCCCGCCATCTTTCCAGTAGCTTAGGGCAGGCTGATACAGTAAGCTCCAGAGGGGCCTGCTGCTCAGCCTAGAACACTGTGAGTGTTGGGACTAGGCTTGATCAGTGCCAACAAGAATGTGCCCTAAAGCTCACAGGGCTTGTACTTGTGTTCCAAGGTTTGAGGGGAAATAAGACATTTGTTTTTTACCTGTCTGGGGCCAGTGAAGGGTGTCCCCCATAGCCTACATAGTATAGCTAGCTGTAACCTGACCGTCCTAGCAAGAGGCTGTTTGGTGAGGCTGTCTTAGGCAGGGCTGAGTTCCCTGGATGGAGGCTGTCATCCTGCACTAGTGGCAGCTTTGCCTGTGCTTCAGACAGAATGTGCCAGAAGCCCAGAGAAAAGAAAGCCAGAGTAGAGGCTGGCTGCTGACCAGCGCCTGCCCATCTTCTATCCTTGGTCTCTCTGTCCCCAGACACAGCCACCTGTTGTGATTACAAGTGCACATGTATGAATTCCATAAATGTAGCACTTGGGAGGTGAATACTGGCCCACTAGGTTGCTCACCTTGGCTGCTGGTTGGATGGTTTACTCTGAACATAGTCAGTCTTCTCAGCCACCTGAGTCTTGTTGGCAGTCCAAATGCTGGCTTTGCTTAGCTGCCACCTGCTCTGTTTTCTTCTGGGTCTGTGTCTCTAAGGCCAAGCTGTACCTATCAGAGCGGCAGAGAATCCCCACAAAGTGACTGATGGTGTCCCTTATTTTACCAGAGCCCTAACAGAGAGTTGCTTAGTAGGCCTGCATGGCACAAAAGAACCAGACCATGTCACTGTGGAATGGCAGCAAGCATGCATTTTATGTCTGCCATTTTATCCCAGCAGTTATCCCTGGGCCTTCCATGGGTGTGTGGGGCACTCACCCCTTTCATGGGTTGATAGAGCTTTGATGCCTGACTTTATCTGAGATTAAATTCTAGCATGGCATGGTGCCTATCCCCCTAACCCTAGCCCTCAGAGGGTGAGGCAGTAGAATCCTGAGTTTTGAGGCCAGCCTGGACTACCAAAAGCAAATAAAAAACTTAATTATTTTGTTTTTGTTGTTGTTTTTTTGTTTTGTTTATGTGTCCCAGGCTAGCCTCAAACTCAATATGTAGTTATAAATGACCTTGAACTGTGGACCCCCGCCCACCTCTCCCAAATGCTGAGATTGCAGGTATGCATTACCATATCCAATGTTGAGGATGAAGCCTTGGGAGTGCTAGGCAAGCACTTGACATGCCCCAACCCCTTGACTTTGTTAAACGGTATCCAGAGCCCCTGGTTGATCTGACTTCCTTTCCATATACTGTATATCTTAGCAAAGTGGCCTCTTTCCTCAGGTCCTTCACAGAGCAACTGAGGAAGATCTCAAGAGATGCTGGGATGCCCATCCAGGGTCAGCCCTGCTTCTGTAAATATGCACAAGGTGCAGACAGTGTGGAGCCCATGTTCCGACACCTGAAGAACACATACGCTGGTCTCCAGCTGGTGGTGGTCATCCTGCCTGGCAAAACTCCTGTGTATGGTAGGTGTCAGCCATCTGTGCTTAAGGAATTGAGTGGATTCCCGTGGCCACGAGTTGCCTGTTCCCCTTTGTGTTGTCTGAACTGAGTGACTGGTTCATGCCCATTCCTGAGCCTGAGAAGAGGAGAGAGGGGTCAGGTTACTCTGGTACGTGCTCTGAGCAATTGTCTATGTCTTGAATGAGGCAGGTATCAAGCAACTTCCCGTGGCCCATAGTTGCAGATAGTTTCTGCCATTGTGCAAAGTTTGGAATTTTAGAACTTTTCACAGAATGTATAAATGTCTGTCCCCTTTGTGTTGACACCAGCACCCCAAAAAAGGGTGTTGGTGGTTGTTGGTCATTCAGGGAGGTTGGTTACAGTTTATTAGTAGTCGTGGTCAATAAAACAAGAATTCTGTTGGATTCAGGGACCTCTCTCCCCACCTCTATCCTTCTTTCTTTCCTATCTAGTGATGGGTAAAACCAGTAAATAAAGGGTAGGAAAAAGAAGAACCCACAAAGTAGCAAAGGCCAGCTACAGCCCATAATTTGACTTGAGGGTTGGTTTCATGTTCATTCTGTGGCATGAGTGTTGGCAGATAGAAGAGTCCCCTGATATGCCAGTGTTCCCTGAGGCGGCCCCACTGACTCTTGATTCTCTAGGACTCAGTCAGCATGTCTGATCTCTGCCACCACCCCAGACAAGGGTGGGTTTCTGTATGTTAGAGGGTAGTTGCTCATTTCATCAGTGGAGAGCCCAGTGATGCTGGAGAAGAGGGAATGGATCAGGTACAGCCTTCTGTTCAGGAGGTCTTCAGGGGAGGAAGGAGGTTACATGGACAGGTCTGCCAGGTGAGAGCTGCCTGTCCCCATAGGCTTTCAGCAAGAGTATTGGTGTTAGATCTGGTGGTGCAGGAGTCTAAAGCATCTGGGCCCCTTGATGGTTGTTACTAATAGGAGTCTGTCCAATCTAACCATGGACAGACTACAGACAGCCATGCTTTTCTCCTCCAAGGCTTTCTCATGGCAGTGGTATTTGGCTGCAGTGAGTGTTGTCCCTGGAGTCTGGGTTTCTAGAACAGTCCTAAGAGCAATGACCAACTGCTTCAGGAAGGAATCTAGGGATGGAGGAGTGTGGATCCCCACGGCACTTTGAAGTTCTGTGTTTGCCAAGGGTTTTGAGGAGGCCGGTGGTTTTATTTTTAGCTACCCAGACATTTGCTTAACATGAGGTGTCATTTCTGCTGAGGAATGATGAAGCCTCATTTATAGCCAGCTTCTGCTCACCCCACCCTGGGCTTGAGATCACAAATGGCTGGTATGAGATGTGCTTCGAGATTTCCATCCTTGAGGGAGACAGGCACAGGTGCCTGGCAGTGAGTGCTAAAGCAGGATTCAGCCAGGCGCCCTGCCCTTCCATCTGCCAGCATCTTCCATAGGCTGACTGCAGGCGCCTGATGCAGCTGTCACGGCTGAACACTGCACCAGTGCAGTCCAAAAGGGGGCAGAAGACAGCTGCTTCTATTTGGGAGTTGTGACATGTGCACCTCTGCTCCACAGCGGAAGTCAAGCGTGTGGGAGACACCGTGCTGGGGATGGCCACACAGTGTGTCCAGATGAAGAACGTGCAGAGGACCACGCCACAGACCCTATCCAATCTCTGCTTAAAGATCAATGTCAAACTGGGAGGCGTCAACAACATCCTGCTGCCACAGGGCAGGTGAGGTGGCCACACCCTGCACATACACTAGCTGGCTTACACGGTCAGTGGAGAGGTGCTCACAGGTAGTGTATGTGGGCTTAAGTCCAAGGCCCCTCAGAACCAGGGCATTGGGCTGGGTGACTTAGGGCTGGGGCCATTGCCACCCTGCTCCTTGTTGCCAGGGCCAGCGGTCTCCACTGAAGAGTTAGGAGAGTGCGTGGCCTCGGGACAGGTCAGGAATGGGCTTCCACAGAATTGTCAGCTGATCCCTGGAGCTTTACTGCAGTGTAGACTCCAGTGTTTCCTACTCTGCTCTCCCAGGGCTGGTAGCTTACTGCGAGGATCAAAGCACGTGGGGGCTAGAAATTCTACATAGGAGTCACTGCTGATGGGTCCTATGTCCCGGAACTTAGGCCAAGTACTGGCTGCCAAATATGCCCCATAGGGCTAAGGGGTGGGAATGTGGAACTGTGTCTTCCTCAGAAGCAACCTATGAGAATGAGGGGGGCAGGCCTGTGCTCTGTGCTTTGGCTGTGGCTCCAGGTGAAGCAGATGTGAGGGACCTCTTGTGCCAGTTCTACACCAGACTGAAGTTGGGAACTGGCAGACTGAGGAGCCCCGATTGTTTGGAGATAAGGACAGGTGGACTAGATTTTGGAGACTTTAAAGGGGCGGAAAGGCAGTTGTCCCGTGCTCTTGGTCTAGTGTTAGTGTCAAAGACAGAGCCCTCCTGAAGGAGGAGCGGCTTGGACTGGGAAGCTGAGCTCTGGGATAGCTCAGTGTCAGAGCACCGGAGCCATGAGACTGGATGAACGTCCTCAGGTGAATGGTAAGGAGGTCTGGGCCCTGTGCCCAGGGGAAAAGTTCAGGGACCCTGGTAATAAAAGAAGGCAAGGAGAGGAGGCACCTGAGTCATAGTGCCCAAGGAAGTGTGTCGTGCATCCCAAAATGCCAGTGAGCCATGTGGTCTGACCATTGGACCCAGCAGTAGGGAAGTCCCTGGAGACCTTGAAAGGGAGAAATCTTGTTGCCATGGCAGCATGAGTTGAGTCAGGAGGAACCTGGGAGGCGCCAGCAGACTGGGCTCATGGGAAGCTTTGCTGGGCTACAGAAGAGAGAAAGCAGAGCGCAGGTGTGCCTTGCTTGTGGTAAGTGAGTCACATTCACCCATGTGTGGAAATACACAGCTATACCTGGTGCCCTGGTGGTGGCTGAGTCAGTGATCAGGATCTGTGGATGTACCACTCAGCTCACCTTTCAGCAGAGGAGAGTGAGGCCAAGGGGCACAGGCATCTTGAGTGTGGTTAGCAGGACCATCGTGCTATAGACTACCTGTGTCTTAGAAGTGACACCCTAAGACTGAGGCTGGGTGCAGGCACCCAGGGCAGGGGTGATTGAACCACAGTGGAGACTAAAGGAACACTTGTGCCCCACCCCCCGAAAGGGCACATAGATGTGCATGCTTAACAGGTAGAAAGTGTTTTCTTCCTGCCTCTACCTCAGTGCCAGAATGATGGGCATGGACCACCAAACCCATCTAATTTATGCTGGGCTTGAACCCGGGACCTTGTGTATGCCATACAAGTACTTTACCAAGTGAGAAGCCTCCCCAGCTTCCAACAATCTTTACCCTTAATGATACACGCAGAAAGCCTACTGGATTAAACAAGGATGTCTGTTAGGTACTTGAGGCAGGAAGATCTCTTGGAAAATGCCTATGTTAGGGTTACCTCCCAGAGAGGGATAGGAATAGCTTCTGTTGTCAGATATCTCAAGCTTGGGCCTCAAACATCCACTTTCTTGTAGGCCTCCAGTGTTCCAGCAACCTGTCATCTTCCTGGGAGCCGATGTCACCCACCCACCAGCTGGGGATGGGAAGAAACCTTCGATTGCTGCCGTGAGTATCCATACTTTCCTCTGGGATTTCTGCCAGTGTCATGTTACTGGGGTGGGGGGGAGACCCCTATCCCTTGAGTATCTGTGGTCTGTTTGTAGTGGTGTGTAGAGGAGAAAGACATGGAAGTCACTCACCTGCTTGGTTGGTCTAATCATGATCCAACAGCAAATAGGTGATGGGGTGATACTGATGATGTCACAGGTGTGTGGGCTGCTGTCACAGGTGTGTTGGCATCTGGTGGCATCAAAGTAGCCTTGGCCAACCACTCAGCATCCACTCCTTCCACTCTCAGAAGACTGCCCTGTCATGTTAGGGTGCCCAGGCATGGACTTCTGTAGTTTGGCCCTTTGAAGTGCAGAGTGCAAAGGGTGTCCTCAACCCCTATAGTTGGCTCGTACAGGGTTCGGGGCCAGAGTGGTTGAGCCTATGAAAGGAAACAACGGCTCTTTTTGGATGATTTGTCTGAGCCATGGATCCCACCCTTACAAATGCCTGAATGCACAATCAATTAGTTTCTCCAACTAATTATCCCAGTGCCTCAAAGAAGTGCTCACCTGGGAAACGAGACCAAAAGGCCCTGTGCACAGCAGCCTGTAGTTGGGTGCAGCCTCGGCTAGAGTGGGCTCCCGCATCCCTCACTGGGCATGGCAGTACCAGCCTCAGCACCAACCATTTTCTCTACTGTTTCTCTCCTGCAATTAACCTTAATCTTTCTGGGTCTTTTCACATGTACTGCAGTCGGCTCAGTGCCTGGCATGCAGCAGATGGTAACCAGACTTAACATCATTGTTTATTTAATCTGTCTTAAGGGGTAGAGAATGGGAAGTGATGTAGGACAAAACCCCATTTGCATCATGTGTGCTGTGCATAGTTCTTGGGCGTGGCCTTCAGGTGGATCCAGAGATCCCTAATGTGAGAAAAGCCCTGCACAGCCAATGCCCGTGGGGTCTGGCCCAGGTCTTTTGCTACCTTGGGCTCTACCTGATCACTCTTAGCTTTACTTTCTCCAGGTTATTGTGTGCAGGTCCTCTCTGGAGGCTTCAGAGGCTTAGGCAAGTGTAAGTCATACACACACACACACACACACACATATAATTTATTGGATTGACTTAGAGGATATAGTCCTAAAACAGAAGGACAAGAATTAGTAGTTGTTCAGCTCACAGGGCTGGATGTCTATGCTTCCGCAGTCCCAGTTTGGTGCTGGAGTCCAGAACTCCTGGAGAGTTGCTGGTCTTCAGTCTAAGTCAGTCGGAATCTGCTGCCTGCAGTAACAGGATAGACAAACTTGCCAACCACAAGCAGGCAAAAAGTAAAAGGCTGACACTGAGAGGTGTGACTTGGATTTTGGGCAGGTCTTCCCACCTCTAATGATCCAGTCAGCAAAATCCATCATACACTTACCCAGCTGCTTTGGTTTAAGTTGATACCAGATGTATGTAAGTTGACAGCTAAGATCAGAGCCAGACTTAACAAATTCTACAGAGCAGGAATCTGTTTCCTCCTGATGCCCTTGATTCTCAAGCAATAGGACATGTTTCCGTTCATGCTGATTTATTTATGCCAACTTGAAATATTTCCTGATCAAGGAATCTGGGAAGGCTTAGAGACACTGCTCTGTAAGCTTCTCAGAGGAGTCGCTGGTCACCTGCTTCCCAGGGACACAGGGCCCTTCCCTTTATGCTTTCCCCAACCTGGTAGTGGGCTGACCCTAGCTGTAACCGGTCAGTTTACTTTTGGTGCCCTGACCTCAGAACCCTGGCTGCATCGTGGTGCTCTGGCTCTCTGGGTGTTTCTTCAGACGAGCCCTTGAACAGCCAAGTTGCTTCAAAGGGCTGTGACCTTGATAGGGATCTAAGTCTGGTAATACTAAGTCTTCAGTGGGCATATGGCAATTTGGGGAAGTGTTTGCTCTTGAAAATCTAGAGGCACCCCCAGTTGCTTTCTTTTTACAAGTAACTCAACCACCTGACCATGTACATAGTAAGGTTCAGTATTACCTTCTGTGTACCATGGGGCAAGTACCCCATCTTCAGAAGGTACCTAGCAGTACTTTCTGCTGTGAGGGACATTGGGAGAAGATGCTTCTTTACAGTCTCCAGCTGGACTCTAGAAGAGGGACCCCTGGAGCCCTTGTCTGTCCCCTGCTGACGTGTGTGTCCCACAGGTCGTGGGCAGCATGGACGCACACCCCAACCGCTACTGTGCCACTGTGCGCGTACAGCAGCACCGACAGGAGATCATCCAGGACCTGGCCGCTATGGTGCGTGAGCTGCTCATCCAGTTCTACAAATCTACTCGCTTCAAGCCTACCCGCATCATCTTCTACCGTGACGGCGTCTCCGAGGGCCAGTTCCAGCAGGTGGGCCACTCTGTGGCATCCTCTTTGCCTCTGTCAGTCAGCTGCTCATAGTTGGAAGGCAGATGGTGATGTGGTCTGTGCCAAATAAGGTTCCAGGGCCTGTGATGGGGGAAGGCAGAAGGGGAGTTTGGGATATAAGCTTGGGCAATGGAGGCCTAGGTGAGGATAGAATCTCAGGCCAGGGAATACGAAGGCAGACTGGGAATTTTTACCAGCCCTGGGCATTTCCAAGATCTGAAGTGCTTGAGACTCTACTTACTTGCCTTAATCACAGGCTGATGGCATGCAACAAAGTTCATGTTCATTTGCTTCCTATTTAGAGCAGAAGCTGCAGCTTTTCCTCTTTAGAACAGATACTCATGGCTCCTAGGAGTACACTGTCTGCCTCCGTTCTTTCTGCCAAGCCTCTAGTGCTGTGTTCTGCAGGAGCCATGGTGACAGCTTCCACTGTGTACTTCCATGACCTAGAGCCCTGTTGCCTCTTAGTCCAGCCTCCTGGGCTTCCCGTCCTCCCCAGTGCTCCTCCCTTGTATAAAAGTTGGACCTGCCATTCTAAGCTCCACCCCTCAGAGAACACCAGAATCCCCACAACTCAACTGTCTCCATTAGAATTGGAGACATACTCTTTGAAACATTGTAAACTGATTGCAACTGTTAAATCTGAGAGAAACCAGTCATGGTCGCACATACCTTTAATGCTAGCATTCAGGAGATCCAGCCAGGGCAGAATAATAAGACTTTGACTCTCAGAAATGGATGGATGGATGGATGGATGGATGGATGGATGGATAGATAGATAGATAGATAGATAGATAGATAGATAGATAGATAGAAAAAAGCTGAAAAAGAACAGCTCGGTCTTAGTATGCACCTGCAGTCCAGTCCCTCTGAACACTTCCAAAACTTGAGGTGAGCAAGAACATTATGGATCCCAAGCTAAGCAGTTTTGTGTAGCTTCTCATTTTTAGACCCCGTGTGCCCTTGGTCCCTGTGTAGATGAAAACTTGTCCATAATCCTTACTATCAAATCTATATAAACTAGAGTCATCTGGGTAAAGGGACCCTCAATGATGAAGGTGTCTCAGTCAGATGGTAGCATGTCTGTGGGACGTCCTCATATTGCTGCTTGAAGGGCTTAGTCTTCTTGGGCAGCATCATTCCTAGACAAGTGGGCCTGGGCTGTCTGAGAAAGCTAGCTGAGGTGGGTATATTGGTGCATGCCTTTAATCCCAGCACTGAGGAGGTAGAAGCAGGTAGATCACTGAATTCAGGGCAATCTTGTCTACACAGTGAGTTACAGGCCAGTCAGAATAAACAAAAACAGAAGCAAACAAGCTAGTTGTGTGAGCAAGCCAGCAGGTACTGTTATTCCATGTTTTCTACTGTGTTCCTACCTTTCCTTCCCTCAGTGTTGTGGATGTGGTGATGGAAGTGTGAACTAGTTAAACTCTTTTCCTTCCCAAGATGCTTTTGGTCAGTCTTTTTATTGCAGTAATAGAATGAAACTACGCCAGCTGTCAGAAGGCAGGGTGGTGTAGTGTACCTGACCCAGTGCAGGCCAAACTGGAAAAGCTGTTCCTGGCATACAAGAGGCGTCTGACGCCTGTCTCTGTCCTGCAGGTTCTCCACCATGAGCTCCTGGCCATCAGAGAGGCCTGCATCAAGCTGGAGAAGGACTATCAGCCAGGGATCACATTCATTGTGGTGCAGAAGCGACACCACACACGCCTCTTCTGCACAGACAAGAACGAGCGGGTGAGTCCTAGCTCTGTGGCTGCCACAGACTCTTCTGAGAGGTGGGCCTTCGTGAGGACCCAAGCTCAGGTGTCTAGCAAGGCTTTGGTGGGGAGGGTCTGGGCACAAAATGTCATTTATCTGATAAGTGATGGGAGAGGTGGTTCAGAAATAGTGTCAGGACTCATGGCAGTGGGGCTGTGGGGTGTCTGGCTTAGTTGCTAGAATACTTACCTAGTGTGTGCGAAGACCTAAGCTTGATCCCCAGCTTTGCATAAACGGTAATCCCAGTCCCAGGAGCATCAAGAATTTAGGTCCTCCTCGGCTACAAAAAAAAAAGTACAAGACCTTGCCTCAAAAAGAAAAGAAGAGAGGAGTAAAATTGGAAGGAGCAGAGAGTTGAGAGAAATGAGGCATTGAGGGTGGTGGACTGGGCAGTCAGAGTGTGAGAGAATAGAGCCAGCCTCAGGCTCTCCACAGAGCGTAGCTCGGATGCTGAGGCCATACACATCTCATGCTTTCCATCTGAAGAAAGATAAGGATCCTTGGGCATATGTGTACATGTATGTAGGTATAAGCATGTAGAGACCAGAAGACAGACCTAAAGGGTCATCCTTAGGACAGGCTGGATGACCAGCAAGTCACAGGGATCTCGTTTGTGCCTTTGCAACCCTGCGATTCTAAGAGTGTACCACCGCACTTGGTGTGTTAATGTGGCTTCTTGGGATGAAATTCAGGCCTTTGTGCTTTTGTGGCATAGCAAGCACTGTACTGACAGAGCCATTTCCCAAGACCCAGAAAAATGTTCTGTGCTTCCAATAGCACAGTAAGGCTTGCATCCATGGATAAAGCGCAATGCCTTGAGAGACATAGGCTTGTCCAAAAGGGCAAGACCTCAAGTCGTCTACCAGACCTTGAACCCAGCACTGCGGATCCAGACCCATCAGACCTGGGGTCACCACACTGTTGCAGGATGGTCACTGCAGTTTAGCTCTGCCCAATGGCCTCCAGTGTTTGCCTACAAGTGTTGTAAAGCAACTGAGGTATAACTTGCCACAAAGAAAGAAAGCCACTTACTAATAAATACTGTAGCTGTGGTCTCCAATGTCCCCAGCATTACATCCTAAAATGATGTAAAGAGGAGGGGGAGAAAACAGCAAAAGCTTGCAGAATTTCAAAAGGAAATTGACAAATCCATTGTCACGAGTGGATGTTGTGACACACCTCTGTCGGAACCTGAAATGGGCAGGAATGAGTGGGAGGGGTGAGAAGAGCTGCAGATGCCAGATTCACAAGGAAGGACAAGGAAGTGTCGGGTGGTTTCCAAACCTTGATCTCATAGAAACCATATGTTTTGATCATTATGCAAATGAAGTTTAAGAATGCTTGACACTTTCACTTCGCTGCCCGCCGCTCATGCATTAAAGATAGAACACAAAACCAAATGGTTTCGTAGCAGATCAGCTCAGCCTAGAGACTTGAGTGCATTTTTTATAAAATGAGAAATGGCCCTGCAGACCATGAAGGGAAGCTGTGGCGCCTGAAGCTGGGTCCCCTGTAGCCCCGGGTCTCTGTTGCTAGAGGTGTCAGTGTTTGGAGGTCTCTCTCCGCCCTAGAATGGGCAGTAATGAGGAGGAAGATTAAGTCTGCCTCCTTGGATGCCCAGGAGGAAGGAGAAGATACCCTCCGGGGATAGTGACACTTAGCCAGTGACATCTGAAATGTGCCACAAATGCTTATGGAGCTATATATATTTCCAAAATCATCTCTGAAGCTAAACCCAAAAATTCCTTTTAAAAAGCTACCCAATGCCAAAAGTCTCAGGATCCAGAAAGCTTTATGGGCAGGTTTCCCACACAGACCTTCAGAGTCCTCACAAAATGTGGCAGAGAACAGTAAAGGCGTAGTGATGTACTCTTAATATTATTAGTTTTAGATTTATGGTGGTCAGAAGAGGGTATCAGGTCCCTCTGACACTGAAACTAGACTTGTGGATGGCTGTGAGCCACCCTGTGGGTCTGGGAACCAAGCCAGTCCTCTGCAAGAGCAGCAAGTGCTCTAACCACTGACCCGCCTCCCGAGTTCCGAGCTATGTAGTTATTTTATGAGTTTAGTTTGCAGGCAAGTGTCAGCAACCCTTCAAGGAATAATGTTTTGTTAAGACCTGTGATGTCACGGGTCTGTGATCCTAGCTTCCAGGTGTCCAAGGCTGGAGAGCCATCAGTTCAGGGATAGCCTAGGATATAGAACAGAGGCCTTTCTTGAAAAGCAGACAAACAAAACCAAACAAGACAAAACAAAAGGCTTGTGCAATTTTAGAAAGGAGTTATACTCACATCACATCACATCACAGAGGTGGGCAGATGTGGGCACATGACACTGAGATCCAGGACAGAGGATCTGAGTTGTGTCTCCATCTGTTTCCCTGGCCCTGCCCACAAGGGTAAGACTATTGGGAGGACTGACCAAAGGGCGTGGCACCCAATCCCTGGCATGTTGTTAAAGAGGCAGTGCCGGGGGTGGGAATGCAGATTCATAACCAGCCAGGAACACAGAACTGACAGGTCTTTGTGTCCATCCCAGCAAAAAAAATTCCCTGAGTGCTGCTCTAGGAGATTGTGTATAAGAATTGTTTAGCTGAGCATGGTGACACATGCCTGTTATCCCAGTACTCAGGAGGCTGAAGTAGGAGGCTTGTCTTGGGTAGAGTCCAGTCTATAATACTCAGTGAGTTCTAGTTCTAGTCCAGCCTGGGCTACAGTGTGAGACCCTGTCTATAGATACATAATAGAAAATACATATAGAAGGATGTTATGGCATTGCTTGTGCCAGCAAGAAAAGTAAAAAAGTAACCATACCCAGAGGGGTCTGTTGCTCTCCCCTCCCCTTCTCCCTTCTTTCATCTCTAGTTGAAATATTTTAGGCCGAGCATGGTTGTGTATAATCCACTTCCAGCACTTAGGAGGTGGAGGTGGAGGCATACGAAGTTGGTCTCATCCTTAGCCACAGAGAGAACTGGAACCTAGCCTATGCTATTGGAGCCTATTCAGGCAGATCCTTCAGTAAACACACTGTGCTTGACGGTAGCATCTGGATGCAGTGTGAACAATAACCCTAGCCCAAGTTAAGCCGTGGAGATCGTTGGTACTTACCAGATTTTATATGTGCTGAGAAACGGGTGCTTCTGCTGTCTTGCTGGCGCTGCCCACCCACCCACCCTGCCACACCTGATGAGCTCTCTGTATTGCTGCAGGTTGGAAAGAGTGGGAACATTCCAGCAGGCACAACTGTAGACACGAAGATCACCCACCCGACTGAGTTTGACTTCTACCTGTGCAGTCACGCTGGCATCCAGGTGAGAAGGGAGGTTCCTTTGACTGGCTGGGATGTTTGTGGTGGCACCGTACATTTGGGGTGTGTTGTGGCTGTGCAGATGGGGCTCCAGCTCATTCTGTGACCAGGAGAGGTGGGCTCTCGCCTGGGGTCCAGAAGAGATAGGAAGGGACCGGTGTAGAAGTGGGTGTGGTGAGACTGAGGCATAAGGAACAGTGATTGACAGTCGAGGCCAAGGGACGAAGCGTGTTCTGTGCTGGCAGCTAGTGAGCTAAAAGGTGGGACTGGAGGCAGCTGCTGTGGTGGGGCCTGGAGGGGCTCATGTTAAGCTGGATGCCGATCACTCATAAAAGGCCAGGACAAGGAAGTACTGGAATGTTCTTTAGCAGCGTTATGCCATCTTCCAGGTAGTAGAGTGAGGTCTTTGAAGACCAGATAGTGGGAGGGAGGGAGGGAGGGAGGGAGGGAGGGAGGGAGAGAAGGAGGAGCCAGCAGTGTTTCTGCTGGATGAATGCCATTCTTTCTTTGCAGAAGACTTTGGAGGGAGGAGTACATCAAATATTCTCAACCCCCACTTTCTGGATGTTAATATAGAGCTCTGATGGGAGATTTTTTTTCTTGGTATTATAAATAAAATATTGTAGAATACCTAATATACCCAGAGGGCATTGTCTTTGGCTCAGCTCCTTCTAAAGAAATTTTTTTTTATTGCTACATCAAATGCATATTTATGGGGTGTGGTGTGTAATGTGATTTTTAACACATTTATGACGCCTCTGATGATAGGGTGAAACACCCTTCATACCTATCAGTCATCTCAGAGTTTGACCAGTTCTCTGTACTGGGACATTTAAAAATCCTGTCTGCTGACTATCTTGAGCCATGGCCACATTTAATAGTGCTCTATGGACTGGATGTAGTGACGCAGGAGGCTGAGGCAAGAGGACTGTGGGTTCCAGGCCAGCCTAAACTAATGCTGCAAGGCTCGGTTGGAGGGAAGGAGGAACGGATAGATGATTCTGGGGACTGAAGAGAGGGTGTTTTACCAAGGATGGCCTCAAATTTGATTCCTCCTTCCTCAAGCCTCCCAAGTGCTAGGGTCACAGGCATGTACCGCCATGCCTGTCTTAATAGGAATGCTTGTTCTCGGTAAACGTCTCATGGTGAGTCTTTCTGGCCCTCTAATCTCTTTCAGGGGACAAGCCGTCCTTCCCACTACCACGTGCTTTGGGATGACAATCGTTTTTCTTCTGATGAGCTGCAGATTCTGACCTACCAGCTGTGTCACACCTATGTGCGCTGCACACGCTCTGTGTCAATACCTGCGCCAGCTTACTATGCTCACCTGGTGGCCTTCCGAGCCAGGTACCACCTGGTGGATAAGGAACATGACAGGTGAGTGTCGCACCTGGTGGGGGTGAGGACAAGGCTGGCTTCTCAGGGGCTGGGATGATTGCTTAGCATACACGTGTCTGGTTCCAGTGCCTCACTTGGTATCCAGGAAAGACTGCATCCTTTTCCTCTTCTTTCCTATGTCTCTGCAGCGCCGAAGGAAGCCATACCTCTGGGCAGAGCAACGGGCGAGATCACCAAGCGCTGGCCAAGGCGGTCCAGGTCCACCAGGACACACTGCGCACCATGTACTTTGCTTGACATGTTGTATTGTTTAGCGATTGCGTACCGAGTTGGATTCACACGAGACCAGCTACACTCAGACCAACAGATGCCCAGCCCTTCCGTGACAGCCAGCATCGAACATGAGACGTCTTTGGTTTTATTAGATCCTCCATTTTCCAGAATGCCTTCCGTCCCAAATTTCAGACTTGGATTTTGAGCTACAGGCCTGTATGAGACCCCAGTGTAGGAAACGTGGTTTGCCAAACCTATAAGCTGCTCACTGAGAGTCCCGTTTCCTAAAAACAAACAAACAAACAACAAAACAAAACAACAACAAAATGTCCTAAAACCAGTCTATGAACTCTCAGGGCTTTAAAACACTTGAATTTATTTGGTCATTCGATTTACTTGTTTTTAACACCTGATTCTCAATGAAATCGATGGGCTCAAACTAGCTATGAAGGCTCTGAGCGTGAAAGCAACACCATTATCATTGGGGTTTTAAAGCCTGGCCCTAAGAAGTTGTCACTAATGTTGAGTTCTAAGGGATGCCATGTGCCCTGCAGCCCCAGGGCATGTGGCTGCTAGGTATCCACAGTGTCTCTCACCGGCCACTGCCTGCCCTCGAAGCCTGAACGAAGGCATAGTGGCCAAGGGGATGGTCATGTGTGTTTACGACAGTGACAAGTCCGAGAGATTGGCAGACAAGTGCCATTTTGATAAAAATTTATTTAAAAAGAAAAAAGACAATATACTGACAGTCTAATCATAAGATTTGTCCTGTAGGACTGTGACATTTATTTTCCAAAGTTTCTAAAGAATACGGGTCTGTGGTGATAAATACAGTACAATCCTTTTTCACTGTTATGTCTTTAATGTAAGAGAAGATTATATGTATCTGGTTTGCAGTATTAATGTGGTAGGTAGATGCTGTTTCCCTTTTGTTGACGAGGGGCGCTTCTCGTGACCTGCTTCACATATCAGAAGCTGTGTGGAGCCTGGAGACAGTCCACCTCTTGTGGCTTTTAGTGCTTAAGTAGAGGAATATGCAACTGGCTTCACGTAACAGCGATGCCCCTCCTTCTCTCCCTACCCCCAGTGTGGACTGTGTAGCCTGTACCTCCGGGAAGGACAGTATGCTTGCCAGTAATCTGCCGTCCTCCCTGCCTCGTCCATGTCACTCAGCTGATGAAGCACAAATGGAATTTATTTATTCTTCCATTGCTGGGAAACAAGTTCACGTAAGAGTGCACTTCTCTCAGTGTGCAGTTATGGAAGGTGGGTTTCGTAGGATCTATGCACTGAAGTGGAGAGCGAGCTGCCCCTAGTGGCTCTGCCAGCATGGGACTGGCAGGTAGGAACGGAGCATGCCCAAGGAGCTGACGGTGGGCATGGCCAGCAGGGAAGGCACAGACTTTTCTCTGGGTGGTATTTGCTTCTGGGCCCCCAGTGTGGGTTTGCCAGCCCAGAGACCATTGAACTGAGAGGAGCCACTGCATGTGGCTCTGCAGATGGCAGCAGCCACCTCAGAGTGTGTCCTGTGGGGCTTTTTGTGCTTGTACTGCAGCTGAGTGAGCATCAGGTCCGTTCGACGGACAAGTTCCCGGAAGGAGACGAGCCTTCTCTTCTGTGCTGCTTTGTGCTCTGTGGGTTTTCTCTACCCCTGCTGATGGTCCTCATTCCCCAGCTCTGCGTCGTTTACCTCTGACCCTGCGATGGGGGAGGGTGCCCACCCTCTCCTCCTGCCGTGGCACCTCATGTTAGAGGACACAGTACCACCTTTGCCCTGTTCCCTATCTGTGCTGGAGCCTGGTGGGAAGGGCAGACGCAGTTACCTGGGAAGTCACTCCCTCAGCAGGTGTGTGTATCTGTGTATGCATGTGGGTGTCTTACTAATGACATTAGTCTCTTCTTGCTGTGTCTTTAGAAATCTTTTAACGTGATAGACCCCCCCAGTCTAAGAAGCACTGGGACTGCCTGCTATCCCACTGGCAAGTGGCACTTTCTCAAACTGTTTCCAAAAGGATATAAAAAACAAAAAACAAAAAAAAATAAAAACAAAAAAAAAACCACCCAGCTCACCCAACATGATGAGGCTGGAGAACTGGTTAAACTAGTGAACTTTTAGAATCTGAAATTAGATTGTTTTCAGCCATTCTTAGAACATGTGTTTCTAAGGTGTGTCTTCAGCCCCTTGCCATGGGATCTTAGTCATGCAAGTGAGTTTTTTAGAATGCAGATTCTCATGCCTGCTGCCAGTCAGCTGGGCATCTGTGTTTGAGACCACCTCCCTCACCCACCCACCCATCAGCGTGGCTCTGTAGGCTCTCTGAAGCCGTCCCCCATGATGCCAGGGGAACAGGAAGGAACCCTGTCAGAGCTCACACCTAGGAACACTTGTGGGCTGGGGGAAAAAAAAAAAAATCTGAGCTGGGAGTTTTGTTTTGATCATCTTGAAGGATAAGTTTTCTTTCTGATGGGCCAAAGTACTCGAAGAAAAGTACTTTGTATAGTAGCCCATGCTTACTTGTGACACTTTTAATATGAAATGTATCCCCAGACCAAATGTCCCTAATTGAGTTAGATGCACATTGTCCACACGTCTGATGATGCAGAGCTTATAAATGGCTGTAGTTCCAATTTCTCAGGTAAAGAATTGTGTTTCCCCACTTCCGCCCTCCCCTTATTATTACCGTTAGTTCCCAGACAGTGTGAGACCTCAGAGCGTGGGAGCAGCTCCGGCCATCTTCTGCAGGAGCCAGCTTTTTGAGTGTACCTGTACCCAGGACTGGTGACAGGTGCCGTTCTCTCCTGAGGTGATACTGGCCAAGTTTGAAGACTGCCCACTTGCTAGCTGTGTTCCCAACCCCACTGTTAAGTAAGGTGTGCCTTGCTTTAAGCAAACTGAATGTGATTATGTTGTGCTCTGTATCCATTTGGAAGGAAAACTAGGACGTGCCTGTCTCTTATAAGAGAGGCTACTCAATTAGACTCTCATGGTGGGTCTCTCCTAGTACACTGTAAGATACTCACTCTTAAAAACCCATCATGACATTCATCCCTTTACCACTGTGTGCACCGTGCAGCAGGTCCTCCCCCACCCCATGCTCATGATGCAATGCAAAACTCGAGGGAGACATCGAGGCCCCGTTCCATAGATTAGCCCTTAGTGATACTAGCAAAACTCCCACCCTGTCACTGCGTGTTATAAGCCCAGAGTCTCCTAGTCCCCATCGAGTCTGAAACAGAGCACACCTGTACTTCTAGAGAGGGGCTATTTTATTTGGTTTTGGCTTCATTCTCCCATTTGGGGAAGTCCTCACATGCATACTTGATACCACTGGGTCTGCTCTGCCTTCTCCAGATTTGGCCTCTTGGCCACTCCTCACACCCACCCGCTTGCTGGCCTCCAGGCCACAGGGCACTGCCAGTGAGGAGACTCCTAGCTCCATGCTGTCTGCAGCTGGCCCAACATCTGTATTCCTAATGTTTACCTGTTACTGAGCGCTTGATAAACAGCCCCTGCAGCGGGCTTGGGCGGGTTTTTTGTTTTTTTTTTTTTTTTATTTTTAATTTTAATTTTTTTCCCATTGTCTTATTGTGTTATTTTATTGTTTTTAAATGCAAATGTTGCTATTTATTTTTTTCTCTCCTGCTCTGGTTTGACTTAGCTGAGCTGGCTATCCCAATGCATGTGGTACCTGATGGATATGGTAGAGATTATTTCCCCCCAACTTTTATAAATGACCCAGTGTTTACCTTCAGGCTTGTTAATGCTTTATTTTTGGAAGCCACAGATGTAGTTTTTTCTGGATGAATTGTTTTTCTTATAGATGCAGCGGTATGCTTTTGCATTGATCTGCAGGGTGATTTGAATTTTATTTTTACAAGCAGTTTTTCAATCAAATTCTATATTTGATACAATGTGTTAAGGGTAGACCAGCCCGGAGTCATGCAGCTGAGGACCCCTGAGTGTCCAGGAGTTCTTAGGGCTGGGTGGCTTCTCTTGGTAGTCCCTGTGGTGGTAGCACTGGTCACAGGAACCTTCAGGGTCCTTCAGCATGGCCCTGACCTGTTGGATTGTTACAAGGATTTTTTTTTCATGGGCATTTTGCTACACAGACAGTGGACAATCCCGGTGGCCCCAGATAAGCCATAAGCAACCTTTCTGTGACCTCTCCCTGACTCATCTCTCACACCCATGGGAAGAGGAATGCGCCCTAAGTAAGCTACACTCCCTTGGTGTTCATGCACCTCCCTTGTAATGCAGACACTTTATGTTTGAAGCCCTTCCCTGCAGTAACCGTGCTGGCTGGCTCTCTATGGGCATGCGTGCCCTGTTGCAGGCAGGCTGACTCCTGTAAGTTGCACTGATCTCTTAATTTGCGTCCAACTCCGTATCTGCTGTACTCACTTGAAGTGATTGTAGACAGATTCACAGTGGCAAGAGTGATGTTGATGTGGGACACTGCCTCACTTCTGCGATCCCAACACACATTTCAGTATTAATGTGCTCGAGTGTGCAGACTGTCGAGCGTTTGGGCTAGCCTCGTCTCACACTCTGACAAGTTCTCCCCCTCTATACAGGACAGCATGCTCTTTGAGACCTGAAGGCTTGAATGTAAACAGATTAGTTAGGAGTCTTTGTGATGCTTTGGTCTGTTAAGTTTTCTTGTGATCTGCAAGGCCCCCCCAAATATGTCATTCTAGTTCCGTGTGGCCTTTTTCAGCGTGGACAGCATATGAGTAGCCCAGTCAGTGTTAACAGGCCATTGCTACATTCTTTGGCCAGCCCTCAACTTAAAGTTGTGAGGTCACTGCTGTGTCAGACTGTCATTTGTGGTCCATCCATGGGAGACCTGAAGCCTGGTGCAGCCCTTCATGCCTTGTGACCCTGCTGGGATCTAAGTACATGTTCTGTTTAGCTTTGCATGAACTGTCTGTGGTCAGGGTACCCAGTGTCTGAAACAAAAGGAATTACTACACTCAAACCACCGAGAGAGAGAGAGAGAGAGAGAGAGAGAGAGAGAGAGAGAGAGAGAGAGA